TACAGGATGAGGCCCGACATACAACACAGGACTAACCCCTGTGGCCTTTCTGTGGTTAAGAGAGTGGGTTGGTCCAGCGGAGCCTCATGCCCAATACGCAGACTTGTCCCCAAATATTTGCTGGCCCTGTGCTAGGCTCTGGGGAAGCAGAGATGAATAAAACATATCCTAACTGGACACAGGAAGCTGCCCAGGAAGTGAGGACCACACAAACAGACCCAACGAACAGGACATCCCAGCCAACACCACTTGGCCTAACCAGACTTCACCTGGGCCTCCATGTTTGCTTAACTTTGCTTCTTCTGCCGTCTATCCCCTCCCCTCCCCCACAGTCATTTGTCTGTCTCTTTCTCTCTTTTTTTTTTGGGTGGATTTACCACTGAGCCACATCCCCAGCCCTTTTGATTTTTTTTTTTTTTTTTTGAGACAGGGTCTCACTAAGTTGCTGAGGCTGGGTTTGAACTTGCAATCCTCTCGACAGCCTCCAGAGTGGCTGGGATGGGACTCTAGGCCTGTACTGCTGAACCTGGGTGATCTATTTGCTTCTAGATGCTGACTATGGATGCAATTTTTTTTTTTTTTTTAATCTGTACCAGTGCAATTTACCTGGCTTCAGCCTCTACATTCGCCCTGCACTGGGCCTCTCATTCCTATCTAGAGTATACTCACCTTGGGAACCTACAGACACAGTCCTGACCACGTGCCTCCAGATTCCAGACCTCTTGCACCTATAACCTCCCTGGGCTTCAGCTCCTGGGCTTAGAAACAGTTTGCATTATATGGAAAATGTTTTTTTTTTTTCAGTTCTTACATCCCATTTCTCTGGCTGTGTTCTGTGTCCCTTGTGTACAAAAAGGCTCCTGTAATCAGTCTTGAGCCTGCTCGGTCATTAACTGGATGAGGAAAATGATAAGCCACAGCATTACTCTCATATGAGTTATAGCTTTCAAAATCATTATCCGAAAATAATTCCAGGTATCAAATGCTCCCGCAAACTACTCACGGTGAAATCCCAGAAAAACTCTACTAAACTCAGAAAATTTAAGATTTCTCTGTGTGCATACTGCCAAACCATCTGTTTCACCACAAGTTCCAAAGATTGGAGGCTTGGTAACCTTTTGCTTTTTACCCAAACCACAGCATTTTAATAAATGAAACCAAACCCTACTTGCACACCCACTCCCGATTTCTTTGGGATCTGAATCTCAGGTTCAAATGTTCCCTCTCTCCCATGCTCATAATCAGGCCGGGTACAGAACATTGGGAGTCTATGTTCAAAACAGACAAATGAACAAACAGGAAACCCCCAGAGCTCCTAGTATTTGTCCCTGAACTGCTGTAACTGGCCTCAGGGTTCTGCTATAGTCACAAACGGGTGAATGAAATGTTTGCACATAGCGTGGAGGTGACCTAAATATAGAGCTTCTGCAATCTCAAACCCAAACCTGGACCATTTCACTCCAAACCCAGTCAGACCGAGAAGTAACTAGTTGCTTGCGTATTAAATAACACAAAACATCATACTTTTTAAAACATTTATATTTATATATATAAAAAATTAAATATATATAATATATAGTGTGTTTGAGACTAAAAATATAGTACATAATATTTAAAAAAAAAAGAAAAGAAAAAAACAAAGGCAGAATAGGAAAAGGTGTGAGGGACACACAGATACACATTGCTAAAAAATCTACGATGGTTTGTCCTAACAAAAATAATATTTCTTTTCCTCTTCTCTTAATTATCATCATGGATCCATCGATTGGGATTTGGGTGGAGAAAAATTCAACTGGAGCCAGAAATAGAGGTTACAATCCCAAGAAAGGCTGGGGTAGAAAATGTGACCACAGGGAGCCTTGGGCCTCTTTCCGGTGAAGTTGGAGGCAGCCAAACTCCTCTGGGCCACTATTGCTAGTGAGATTGGGTCAAGAGTTTGATTGTATTGGCAATTTGGCTGTTCTTTCTCCCCAGAATTTGGGCTACATCTGAATGCTCCAGAAGTCCTGACCCACACCAACTCAGAGGCCAGTGGTCGGGGCCAGCAAGAAGCCCAGGGACGGGGAACAGTGGAACGGTAGGAATGAACGCGAGTCGTATGCACATGGAGTTATTATTATTGTTGTTATTATTTTTTTTTAAGGGCAGGCCTGTACCAGAACTGCCCGGTATGGCCTGGGACTTCTGCGCAGCAATGATCTCTCCAGGGGCAGGGCCTGGAGCTCCCTCACAGTGATACAAGAAAATGGGATTCTGCCCCATCTCCCCAATTCAGAGATCCCCCAGCCACTGGGCCTCTCCTCAGCAGCCCAGAGGATGAGTGTCAGAACCAAGCTGCCAGAGGCGAGCCAACAGCCTCACCAACAGCCAGGCTTTGACAAGAGGAGGAGAAATACCCTGGGGGACATGGAGAAAGGGAATGAGATCTATAGATGCTCATTCTGTAGCCTTTTCACAAAAATGAATGCGTAATGACGCTGGTCTGCCGGTGCGCCTCAGTGTCCCCTCATGACACCCTATCTGGGCTCACCAGGGTCAGGAGCCTGACTAGTTCTCTCCCGCGGCTCCCCCGACATGCGGAACGGGCTGCAGAGGCACAGAGCAGTGACCTGCCTCAGGTCACACAGAACTGAAATGATAGAGAACCAGGGTTTCCGAGCCCAGGGCAGCTTTGGGAGGTCCTGCAGTTCAGCCATAGGGACAAACCGTCCACACAGCAAAGAGTAAGGCTGTGACCAAGTCAGCTCACTCCCAGTTGGGGTCTTGGCCTTAACCTTGGTTTCCACACACCCCACTGGGCTAACATTGCTGTTTGTGGCCAGGTGTACCGTGTTGGTGGCCATCTGACTCTAAGGAGCCCGGGACTTGATGCTCCTGACAATGTCTACAGGTCCACCCAGGAATGGAGGGCAAGAGACTCCCCTGCAATGTGCTCCATCCCGAAAGGCAGAAGAAGCTTCCCTCAAAATCGCAAGGAAAGCAGAAACTGCCGGATAAGTATCGCTGGCAGACAGGGTGGTCAAACTAACCTTCCATTCCAAGCTCGATATTTGAGAACCTAGCACTGCTCTCAGGCCTGGCTACTACTGTCCTTTCTCACTACGATGAGTTTTCTTTCATGCAAACTCTATGGCTGGACTTTGAGGGATCCAGGATTTAGGATGCAGGCTGGGCCCTTCACAAGCAGAGACCATGGCTGATCCAAGGTAATAAGAACCCTTTGGGACCCAAAGCTTATGTCAAAACCACCTGCCTCCTCTTCCCCCCACCTGCTGCTCCCTCATGGAGAGGTCAGCTGGACCCACTCCCAGCCCAGGTCGAAACATCTGGACTGCAGGCTTCACCTTGTTCAGTAAGCAGGAGGAGTTATCCTTTGGGCCATAGAGTGTTTCCAGGACCAATTACCACTCCCTGCCAAGAAACAGATGCCTGTCACCTGGGAGCAAACTAAAGGAAACCCACTCTGCCCTTCTCTAGCCACAGTCTTCTTTGCAAACCTGTGAGAATCAAGGGGGAAGCAGCACAGATAACTAGGGTAGCTGTTGCTGCTTGTAATAAAGGGGTTTCTGGTGGAAATTAACTCACAACACTTCTGACAAGATAATGAAGCACACGGTGAAAGCTTCTTTCAGTAGGGGAGAACCCCTGAGCTCCCCAGCCCTCACGGATTGCTGACTGCTCCCAACTCCTTGCCAGGGATGCACAGCCCTGCATGGCACCTCCTCAGATGAACAAAGCCAAAACGGAATCCTTTCAGGTTTGTGTAACGCTCTCCCCTCATCTCGCAGGACAGAAAGTTGGAGGCAATGGACATAGAGGTTAGGCCACTCTGTGAATGAACCCAGCACCGGAACTGGGTCCTGGATCTCCTGATCACTAGCCCCGTGCCCTTCCCACTGGGATGGTAATGTCCAAGGGAATCAGGATTGCCAAGTCCTGGGGCAATGCAATGTTGGGGACTATAGCTTCAGATAACAGAGCTCTGGGATCCAGGGCATCTTCTCCTCCCTAGATAAGCTATCCCACTTGGCCCACCATGCAGGTTTCCACAGTTAAAACCGAAAAGCGCAATTCCCAAACACAATTGAATACCTTGAATTCTCCTGTTTTAAAGGTAACCCTATTTAGGCTTCAGTTGTTTAGATTAGCCATAGCTGCTGGTGCCTATGAAGAATTTGCACAAATTTATCTGCACAGGAACCTGCATTCTTAAAGCCTTCTCTCTGGGCTCTCATGAGAGGACTCCGTGGGACCATATGAGCTTCCAGGGGTGGGATACAGCTGGAAGCCAGGTAGGTCCCGTTCTGCAAAGACTGTCCCTCTCAAGTGGCAGAGGACACAGGGGCAGGCTAGAACTGCAGCTGCTGGCTCCAGGGTATGACTTAGTCTTCACCAGTGAGAGGGTGTCTAGGAATGTCACCCCACGGACCCATCTGCAAGGGGTGGTGATGGCCCGTGGCTGATGAGCATGTAACTCATTAAAGCGAACATGACTAATGAATGGTGACCACCGAGAAAGGGCAAGGAGCATTCTGGGAATTGCACCGGAGTCCCCCTCCCATCGGGCTGGCCATGGGTGGAGGAGGCAAGCTGCAGACGCAGCTCCTCGGGCAGACAAGGCCAGGCAAGGGTACCGATTCTCTTTGGGGTGCCTGTTCTCTTTGGTCAGAAGGTGGCAGCTGAGAAGTGATGGCATGGAATGTGCGTGGGCGCGGGTGCACGTGGGGGTGGGACGAGAGAGCATGGGCTTTGGAATGCCCGCAGTGCCCTTCCGTGCCTCCTTCTCCACCCGGGTCGGCGCTGAGCTCTCCCTCAGGGCCATCTCCAGGCCTCCTTTCCCCTCCAGGTCCTCTCCCCTCACTCTCCTCTGACACGGTAACCCTTGACAGCCTGTCTGGAGCTTCCCAAGTACCGCTCCCTGCCCAACCGCCCACACAGGGACGGTCACCCAAAGCTAGACACTCAAGGCACTGAAGTGGAGGAAGGAGTCGGATTGGTCCAAGGAGGGAAAAAAGACACTTAAACCAGAACTTTCCTAGAGAGAACCTCTCCCGGCCCTCTGGGAGGTGGGCCCTAAGCAGCTGGTGGGGCTGAGGGTAAGACAGCAGAGTCAGAGACCCATGCCCTTCCCTAACCCTGTTGGAGCCCACCTGGACCACCTGAATGTATAAAATGAATTCAAAGTGCTTAGAGACTGAAAGGGTAATGGAAGGTGTCGGGAACTTGGTGGAGAAGAACAGGTATCCCTTTTTCTTTCCACTGGGACTTGTATTTGGGCGAGGTAACCCCTACAGCTTCTTTCCAGATGAGGTTTTCATCATTTTTTGTTGTTGTTGTTGTTGCCTTTGCAAAATAGCTTGCAACAATAGCTCTATCTCAACCTACTACTTACTCCCCAAGCAGGCTCAAGAGTTAAAGCCAGGAAGTGGGGCAGAAAACGGGGCTCGAGTGCCTCCCTCTGGTGTGGGTTCTGGGAACTGCCACGCAGCAGCAGCAGCAGCAGCGCACAGTGGCTTCTTGCTGATCCATCAGGACACGGGACCTGACCTTTCCTTCTCCACCACACTTGCAACTTATCTGGGTGGGCCCAGCACAGGGAGAAGGGAAGAAGGGAGCAGTGCTGCTGGAGATTTCTGGATCCCTCTGCACCCTGACAGATATCCACAGAGGCAGCTAGGGTGACTGACATTTTGATCCCAGCTGAGCCAAGGCTCCCAGGGCTGTTCTATAGACAAGAGCCAACATGAACCCAAGGTCCCTTCTCCAGTGCCCTGAGGGACAGATGCACTCAAGACAAGAGAGCAAACAAAGGGACTGGGTGGGCTATCCTGTTTTCCATCTGTCTGTGCTACAGCCACCCACTCCCGTCCTTAAATGTCCCCTAGGTCAAAGCCTGCCGTCCCCCGCGTATCCTCCCTGCCTGTTTATGGGAGACCAGAGGGGCGGGATAGAAAGGGAATGCTAAAAAGTGCCCCCTCTGTTCTCCCCAAGTCAAGTCTCCCCTTGACTTTCCCTGTCCCCGTGCTGGGGTCAGCAAGGGCACAGGTGGGAAGAGACACAACCTCCCGAAGAAGAGGGAAGGGCAGGCCCAGGAGGCTGGGGCATGCGCAGAGCACCATCCTCGGGACGGGGTGTTTCTGGGAGACCTGCTCCCCACCTGCCTTGGTGGGAGGAGGAAGGCTGGTCCAAGAAGGGAGCAATTAGCAACGCCCCTGAATATCAGGGAACAGCTGTGAGAAGCCTTCTCCTCTGCCCCGCAGAGATGCCCCCGCCAGGTCTGGCCCCTACACGTGAGTCTGCATGCGCTGCTGGAACCGCTGGCCGTAGTCCGAGTGCTGGGAGGTGTAGGAGAACCGGGTGGCCGTGGCGTACTTGCCGATGGGGTCATACGCCTCGTACGGGGTCCGCTCCAGGCTGGAGGGTGGGCCCTGCGGGTAGCCCAGCCGGTAGGTGGGGTACCCAGCTGCGCCGGGGAAGGGGTGGGAGTTGAACTTCTCGTAGTTCTCGTAGGACAGCTGGCTGGTGGTGTCGGTGCCCGCAGGGGCAGCAGGGCCAGCGGCTGTGGGCTCAGGGCCATAGTCAGAGGCGGGGGCCCGGCTGTAGGTATTGAGCTGGGCATAGCCGCTGGAGTGGGAGAGACGGGATGAGGGGCGACCATCAAAACGCGCAGGGCCAGGGGCGCGGTAGTCGGCATAGAGCACTGCCCTGGAGGACGGGCGGTCTTCGTGGGCGCGCACATTGTAGTAGCCATTGGTGGGGTCCTGGGGGGGACGAGAGAAGAGCGCGGAGGCTGGAGTTTCCTCTTGGAGTCTTCCAGGGCTCTCTGGGCCTGCCCCTCTGGCTCTCCCTGTTCCCATCCAGCGCCTCTCCACCCCGGCTCCCCTCCACAGGCCTCCTCCAGCAGCAGGCCCTGGACCCCTATTTCCCAGGTGGTCCTCTGCCAGCCCTCAGCCCTTTCCCACCTTCATCTCATACTCCTCCCGCGTGTCGATGGTGTCACAGCGCAGGTCCTGCTTCAGATCCACATCATCCTTAAAGGACTGCAGAGCGGCAGGAGCGGGTGTCAGGAGATGGGGGCCCTGCTCTTGTCCCCCCTCGCCAACCCCGTCCCCATGCCCAGAGGTCACCTGCTAAGGGAAAGGTCTGGGGTCAGAGGCAGACTTGCATTCTCTGTCTTCCCCCAGCAGAGGCACTGGGATGTGGCCGGAGGAGGCCAGAGACCTGGCTTCCAGCAGGTACTGGGGATTGCACCCAGGGGTGCTCTACAACCGAGCCACATCCCCAGACCTTTTTATGTTTTATCTTGTATTCTGAGACAGGCTCTTGATAAATATCCCAGATGGGCCTGGTGCTCCTCCTGCCTCGGCCTCCTGAGCCTCTGGAATTACAGGTGTGCACCACTGCACCTGGCTACCCAGCACGATTCTGTGGCTAACATGCAGTGTGACCTTGTGTATGTGGCTGCTGCTCTTTGGGGCTGTTGCCTCATCTCAGGGATGAGGGAATTGGAGCAGAAAACACCCAAAGAGTTCTAACTCTGGGTCTGTGTGGCAGAAAGACGGGACAAAAGAAGCCTAAGAGAACCCCAGCCCTGCCTGCCCTCTCCTGGAGGGAAACCAACCTTGCATGTGTACGTGTGCGAGGGTGTGAGTGTGCAAGTGTGTGGAAGTGGGTTTATCTGTGTGTGGGCGTGCATGGCCGGACTATGGTAAAGTGAGGCAAGGGAGAGCAACAGCAGTTCTCAGAGAGCTGGGTGGAGCTGGTCAAGAAGGGGACCCTCACCGAGTAGATGGCCTTCATGACCCGGGTGGCCGTGGAGACGCTGGCAGTATCGTCTTCCCGGTCAGAATGCATGGTGAGTGGCTCTCGGTTCACGGTTTCCACCTTGATGTCCAGCTTCCTCAGGGTCACATCTTTACGACCTGGGACGGGGAGATGCAGCTGGGCCACAGGCTTTCTGCCGTGGCTGCTTCTAGTCCCCCCCATGAGCTAGGAAGCTCAACTGCCACCCCTTTGGCTCGACACGTGCACTGTCTGCCGCATGCCCCGGAATCAATGCGCATGCAGTGGGGACAGGTGTGCTGTGGCTGCATGGGGACCATACTCACTGCCTTTGCGGCGTCGATAGAGGAAAAATACCAAGGCAATGAAGAAGAAGATGACCAGGATGCCTGCGCCGATGGTGGCCCCCGCGATGATGCCCACAGGTAACACCTCTTCCGACAGGGGAAGGAAAGGAACAGGGTGAGGACAGAGCCATACTGGGGACCTGCGCTCAGGATGGGCCATGAGCCACAGTGGCAACCCTGGATCGTGTACAAGGCTGAATTGTGACTGAGTTTGTGGACCATATGAGGCTCAAGTTCAGGTTGCATTGGAGAGGGAGATCTGGATTGTTGCCGGATTGTAATGCTTTAGCCAGACTAGATTTGACTTCATGGCTGTGTCCCATCCCTGCAGCTGGGCATCGGCTTGACTCTGGTCCTTGGATGGTCTGTCTCTTCCTTTTTTGGTCCACCTGACCATGAAGCATGGTCCCGCCTTCCTGGGCAGGGCCCCTGTTTGAGGGTAGCTGTCTCCAAACACTCTGATCTGCCATCTGTGTTCCACCCTCTTGTCGCCTCCCCCATCCACACCACTGTCTTCTCCCGACCCCCATCACACCCTGCAGCATCCTCAGCTAAACCTGAATGGATGAGATCTCTATAGTCATTTTCTATAGTTCCCTATGCCCAACATCAATGCCTATTTCTCAAAACCAAAAACAAATGCTGTCTTTCCCTCATCCGACTTGAGGATGCCCATCAGTCAAAAGCAGTCCATCCTACCTACCAGCCGTGCCAGAAAGAGGGACACATCTCTCCTATCAGACTGGGGATTCTTGAAGCAGTCGGGGAACCCAAACTTACTGAGCACTGTTCCACACCAGGCATTTTGTAAATATTGTCTCCCTGAGTCCAAACAAAACACCCAACGAGATAGGTAGTGTTACCCCCTTGTACAAATCACTCAATTTTTCTCCATCTGAATTCATTTGCTTCCACTCTGTAAGCTCCTCCACTAAGCTGAAAGCTATTTGTGGGCAAGACTGTCCCTGAAGCCCCTACCGCAGAGTCTGGCCCATAAAGATGCTCAGTTAATGTTCATAAGGGAGCAAATTTCCCCACTGAGCACAAGGCCAGCATCTGGTGCTGCTACTCAGAAGAAGGAGTCCTCTCTCTCTTTCAGAGCCTTGCTCTGGAGAGAAGAGGGAGCAGAATCCCCGGGCTGCCCTGGGCTGGGCTGGACAGCCACCATGGCCAGTCACCTCGCTCTTCCAGCTGGATGATGGCTGTGCCAGGCCCAAAGCTGTTCCAGGCCGTGCAGTTGTAGTGGGTCTGGAAGTCGGCCTCCATGACGTTGTTGATGGTGAGTGTGGACAACACCCCGCTGCCCGAGTTGGTCCTCTCCACCGTGTATCGTTCCAGGGTCCCCACCTCTAGGAAGTTCTCCTTCCATGCCCAAGCCTGGGGTTCGGGGGACAGGAAGGAGGTCAGAAAGCGGGAAGTGGCAGAAGCATTTGCCCAGGTGTTGCCCGATCCTCCCTCTAGCCCCCTCGCCCCCATCTGCCCTGTGCATCCTAAGACCTGCCCAACACTTACCCTATAACCAACGTCACACCTACTGCCTCAGACCCTCAGCACTGAGGAGCAGGGGCTCCCAGACATGGAGGACATCAAATTTACCTGGGGAGATTCTTTAGAAAGTACCATCTCCAGGGAAGAGATCTCGGGATCTTTTAATTATGACCCTGGGTGATGTGGATACAGCTGACCCAAAAAAGGGAGCCTCCAGTGTTGCAGAGAAAAGTTCTGGATTGGATTTGAGGACCTTGGACTATAATCTTGGCTCTCTCCTATCCCTGAATCCCTGTGTGGCCTCTCTTTCCCTTTCTAGGTCTCAGTTTCTTTGTCTATAAAATGAGAGAATCAGGCTAGAAATGGGCGATACTCAAAACTTCTTCTAGTTCTAAAGTCTGTGATTCCATAACTCAATCTTTAGCCTTTATTTATTTTTATGGGGGTGCTAAGGATGGAACCCAGTGCCTCACATGTGCTAGGCAAGTGCTCTACCGCTGAGCCACAATCTTATCTTTGACCAACCCACAAGAACTTGCAATGCTGGCACTGGAGACCCACCCGCCTGCAGGCTCTTGTAATGGGCAGGAAGGAACCAGAGAGGAGCATCCCCCAGATCCCTGCCTTCCCCACCACCCTGTCCTCACTCACAGAGTGGAGCTAAGGAAGGGGAGCAGCTGAGAACTAACTGGCTCCTTTCCAGGGATCAATCCTCCCAGCTCTGCAAAGATGGCCCCCCGGGAGCCCAGCCGTCGGCTGCCCGGGCGGCCGTGGTAATGAAGTGTCCCTGGGCAGCCCTGGAGTTAGCCAAATGGTCATTAAATGTGATGAGGGGTTTGACGGTTAATGGTCATGGAACGAATTAATGGCTCATGGTGTGGTGGGAGGAGGGAGGAGTGGAGAGGGGCTGGGAGGAGGGATGCACGAGAAGGGAGAGGAGAATGGGGCAGGTGGGAAGGAAAGCCCGTGGGGAGGGAGGAAGCAGGCTGGGCGAGGCGAGGAGGGAGAGGGAGGGGGAAGGCAGGCAAGGTGGGAGGACCAGAAAGCACTGGGGAGGAGGGAGGAGCGTTTACAGGTCAAGCAACTGAGGTTCAAAACGCTGTGAAACTTGCCCACGGTCACCCGCATAAATACGGAGGTGACAGGGGAACAGAAAGGCAGAGGGTTAGAAGACCAGGAAAGGGGGTGAGGACATGGAAGGCGCCAAGCCAGAGGCAGTGGGCAGAGCAGCAGGGGCTGGGGTCCAGGCTGGGTCCCAGCACTCACGATGCGGTCGGGGGGTGGAGTGCTCCCTATGAAGCATTCCACTTTGCCACCGTCGCCTCTCACAGCGTACTGCACCGCCTCGCTGGAGATGATGGGGGGCCCTGCGAGCGAGGAGACACGGTCAGGGCCCGTCGGATCCCGCAGCCCCTGCAGTCAGGAGCCCTCACCCCACCCCACCCCACTCAGGCCACTCACCATTCACATAAAGGGGCACCTCCCGCTCAGCCACCCCGATCCGAGGCACGATGGCCCGGCAGGTGTAGGTGCCGGCATCGGCCTGGGTCACCGACTTCAGAAGCAGTTGGTTGCTGTTACTCAGAACCTGGGCAGAGAGAGCAGCCTCGGGTGGGGAGCCAGGAGGCCTGGGCCCCTAGGTCCGTGAGGGCCCCGCATTGGAGGCATTGGAAAGAAAGCAGGAAGGGCCACAGGTGAATTCCCAGCAGGGAGGTGGGGCTCCCGAGTCCGTTCGATCCTTCCCCTGACTCTAAACACTCTGGCACTGAAACAGATCATCTGTGCAAGAGAGGCCAGCGGCTGAGAGGAGGCCAGCCAGGGCAGGTGGAGGCCGCAGTGATTTTTAGAAAAAGTCCTTTTGAATGATCTCCTCCAGTGGGTTTATTGCCAAGCCAGTTAGGACACCTGACCCTGAAATTCTTCTTGCTACCCTTCTGTTCCAGACTGTCACTAGGCCCCCATTAGGGGTGGGTCTCTAGAGCTGTGGAGCCCAAATTTCTCTTCTCTAGTGAGTCACTCTGGCGTCCCCCCTTCCTGTGCACCGTGAATTTCCTGGATCTTGTGCCACCAGAGCCACGTTACCCCCAGCCCCCCTTTCCTCCTCCCCCACCAGCCTCATCCCCTGCCTAGGCCAGCTTGTCCCTCCCACCGCCTCCAAAGGGGTCAGCTGTCTTGTGAGCAGGGGAAGGGCCAACCGCAAACACTGCCCTTCTCCTCCACGCGGCAGGACCCTAGCTGTATAGCCCAGGTTCAACTTGGAAAAGAATCCTACCCCCCTCCTTGCCCCTTGCTAGGCCCCCACGGCCACAGCCCTTGGTCCCCATTCAGGATGGACAGGGAGAATCTTACCATGTTTGAGTCCTTCTTGGTCCAGGTGAGGGTGAGCGGCGGATTCCCCACCCAGACACAGGTGAGCGTCACATCAGAGCCAATGTCCGTAGTCGTGGGCTTGGGGTCAACTACAATCCGGGGGGCAACTGAGGTAAACACAAGCAGCTGGTCAGGTCCGAAGCTCACTGGGGGGCCAACACCCATCAGTCTCCCCTTCCAGCCCCCATCCAGCTACCCCTCTGATTATTTCCCACCGTTAGCTCCTTGAGCTGCGTGGGTCCTTTCACCACCCCCACCCTCCGCCCTGTGAAGGCCCCCCTCTTCCCGTCCCTGTCCTTTTAGCTACTCACAGTGGACGTTTACTAAAGTGCTGACGTTGGTACTGCCCACTTTGTTGTGGACCTCACAAGACACGGGCTCCGTGAAGAAGGAGTAGTCGACGTTGGTCTCGTAGCGGCTCTCCTGGGCATCTTCAATCAGGAAGCCCCCCTTGGCCCACCTGGGGGAGGACGCAGCACAGAAGCGGGATCAGGACTTGGCATCCTCCCTCCGCTACCTCCGAGGACACTGGCCTCCACAGTACCCCCACCTCCTGGTCTCACTATCCCTCCCAGAGCGCTCCCAGCCCCGACCCTATCACCTATAGCCCAGGATCTCGGGGTTGGCTGTGGCCTGGCACGTGAAGACAACACGCTCGCCTTCCTGCACCGTCTGCGGCTCAATGGACAGGGTCACGGTAGGAGGGTCTGCAAAGCAGGGGACAGGAAGTCAGGGTCTCTCTTCTGTCTTTTGAATTTCTTATTCTCCCCCTGGCACACATGTTCTGGTGTGATCTGGGAATTTCGGTTTGCAGTATGATCGGTCCAATAAATAAACCATCTCCCTCATCCTCTCCACCCAGGTGGAAGGGTGGCTGGCGAGGGTGACTGACCACCAAGGATGGCACCCAAGGGGCGAACTATTTAATGGGTGTCATGACACACCACGGCCACTAGGCGTCAGTGTGGGCTCACTGGTCTAACTACAAGGGGACAGGGTGGGAGCATCCCCAATTACTGGGGGCACCCCCATGTTTCCCTGGCCAGAGAGGGAATTTACTGAGCACCTACCAGGTAAGCGTACCCGGTGCTAGGCGTTCTTATACTCTAACTTATTTAATTCTCACAACCCCGAGAAGCAAGTCCAGATCCAAAATCCCTTATCTGAAACCCTTGGGACTGGAATTTGGAATTTTTCAAATTTTTTTAGAAAGACTTTTTACTATGCAAGATCCCCCGCAGCATTTGAGCAAGGCGTCATGGTGAGACACATAACCCACTTTATTTATTATTTATTTTGGCGGTTCTGGGGATTAAATCCAAGGATGCTGGCTCTCTCACTGAATTACATTCATTCTCCAGATCTTTTAGATTTTTATTTCGAAGCAGGGTCTCGCTCAGTTGCCAAGGCTGGCCTTGAACTTGTGATCTTCCTGCCTCAGCCTCCCTAGCTGCTGGGATGACAGCCTGTAATGTGCCACCACACCCAGCAAGAGCGTATGGCTCTTAAGTTAAATACCTGGGTTCAGGTTTCGACCCTAAATCACTTCAGTTTGGGATCGTGGATAAAGGGCTGTTGGTCTCTCTTTCATATTCTGCGACTACAGTGCCCCTTCTGTCAGCCCTCCGTGCCCCGAGTTCCAACCAGGAAACTGAAGACAAGGAAGGGAACAGCTGTCCCGGGTCCCCTATGGGATGCTTATTCTGGGCTTCTCAGAAGGTCCCCACCTGACAGCTCCCCACTGCCCCTCCCCGGGGGGGGGGACCCCACTCACGATGCACATCCAGCTCAATGGAAGTCTCCTTGCCGCTGGGGATGGCCTCGTTCATGCTGCGGCAGGTGAAGACGCGCCCGATGTCCAGGTCCGTGGGGTTAATGAGCAGCTGGCTGATGGTGGTCTCCCTCTTCCCGTCCTTCAGCAGTTCCTGGGGAGGGCCAAGGGTGGGTGACACGGTCAAGCTAAAAACCCTCTGCTCTCAGAGTCGAGCTTGGGCAGGTGGAAGGCTTTTTAAAGTTTAGCTTTCTCCCTCGCTCCCAACTTCTTCCCCACCATGTGATGTTGTTGTTTTTAATTTTTCAGACTTCATTATTATTGTTATTATTATTATTAGGGGATACCAGGGATTGAATTCAGGGCCACTCAACCACTGAGCCACCTCCCGAGCCCTATTTTGTGTTTTATTTAGAGGTAGGGTCCCACTCACTGAGCTGTTCAGCAACTCGCTTTGGCTGACGCTGGGCTTTGAACTCACCAGCCTCCCGTCTCAGCCTCCTTCCGGGCCCGCTGGGATTATAGGCATGCACCTCGGCACTCACAGACTTTATTATTTTACAGCAGAAAATAGTTTCCATGTATTCTCCCTACCTCAGTTTCCCTCATTATTGACATCTCGCACTTAGTGTGATAAATTCGTTACAACAACCAGGTGTGGTGGCTCACACCTACAATCCCAAAGACTTGGGAGGCTAAGGCAGGAGGATAGTGAGTTCAAAGCCAACCTCAGCAACACAGTGAAACTCTGTTTCAAAATAAAAAGGACTGGGGGGTATAGCTTGGAGAGAGAACACACCTGGGCTCAATCCCTGGCCCCTCAAATACTAAACAAACAGCGGAGGAACCAACATTGATATGTCATCACTGAAGTTCATGGCGTGCATAAGAATTCCCTCTTTGTGCTGCATGGTTTTCCCCCGTGGCATTGAGCTTCATTCTTGGAATTCCTTGAGCCCAGTACAAGTCCTTCCTCTTCTGGAGAGCCTGCGAGGGCCAGCCCAGGCCTCAGGACTCTCAGCCTCAACTTGGCCCCTCACAATCAGGCTGCCCTACATGTGGCTCCAGGCACATCCACCTGGCTCCAAATGCCTTTGAGTTTAGGGAAGGGACTCCTAGGCTCAAAGTCACTGGCTTCAGTGACATGCAAGCAGAGGTCCCCAAATATGGTCACAAGAACCCTCAAGGCTGTTTTCCATATTGCCAACCACCTAAGGGAAATGCTCCCACGAACCAAAGTAAGGTCCTGCCGTCTGACATCTTTGGGGGACTGGGACAGTACAGTAACACTCATGTTGCTTCAAAGAGCCACAGGCTTAAATGAATATGAGAAGGGGGTGGACAAGAAATGGCATTAACAAATAGACTTGACAGGTTTTATATAAATATATATTCACAATATGTGCATACACACACACACACACACACACACACACACACACGCACACATCCCCCCCATCCTGGGATTGAACGCCGGGCTTCACACACACTAGGCAACTGCTCTACCACTAAGCCACATCCCAGCAGCCCAACTATTTTAAAGCATGTACCCTATAGGAGAAAAATGACTGAGTTCTTGATGGTAAAGGGTTAAGTACTACTGAGGCCAAAAGATCACTTTTAAATTCCAGAGAAGTAGAAGGGATTTTTCAAGGTCACACAGTGTGTTACCAGTAGAGCTGAAGCCAGAATCCCCTAGGCTCATGCTTGGAGGAATGTCCTCTCTCCCCACCCTGAGAAGCATCTCCTGCAGCACTCAGCCAAGGGCTGGGCACATATGTTCCCCCACGGCTAGCAGAAGGAACCCCGGAAACAAAGATTTTTTTTCTCCTTTTTTTTTGTGATACCAGAGATTGAGCCCAAGGGTGCTCCACCACTGAGCTCACCCCAACCCTTTCACTGTTTTACTGAGACAGTCTCCAAAGTTTCTCAGGCTGGCCTCCAATTTGTGATCTTCCCCCCCCCAGCCTCCCAAGTCTCGAGGATCACAGTCATGCCCATCAGATGGGGTTCTACCACCAATTCTGCCATGTGACCTCGGCAAGTCACTCACTGTCTGAATTCCTTATCAATAAAACATCCGTGGAAATCCCCGTTTCCCCAACCTCTGAGTTGTCGTGATTGGGATAATGTGCCAACCTGATGCTGAAGGAAACGGGTAGAGGTGACTCATGGAGAGAAAGCACTGTCAGACCCAGGTTCAAATCCCAGCTCGCCAGCTGGGTGACCTTGGCAAGGCACACAACTTCTCTGGTTATCGGTCACCCCTTTGTGAGCTCACAGGGAGACTGTCCAGGGACCTGGCATACAGGAGGTGCTTCATCAATGGCAGCGGCTAGTACGATCCTCCACTGCTGTTCAGCCGACTGGCACAGTGAACCCGGAAATCCAGCTCTCTAGACCTCCGTTTTTCCCTTCTCACATCTATGTTCTCCCCACTCTATGGTCAAATCCCCGTGGGGACGGAAAGGTGACCTAGGGCTGGGCCAAAGAGAGCCAAGGGGGCAGGCCGGCGTCTCACCGTGCTGGCCACAGCGCCCTCCTGCTGCGTCCCGTCCCGGAACCAGATGATGGTGGCTGCAGGCTTGGCGTTGAAGGCTCGGCACGTGAGGTTGTGGGGGGTGCCCGCCTGCAGCAGAATCACAGGGCCTCCATCAATTCTGGTGTCCTCTGGGGGGACTGCGGGGGAGAGCAAAGCAATGTCAGCCCAAGCTGTGGCCCTCCTGACCAAGACCTCTGCCCACAGAGGCATCCCTGCACCCATATCCACACCTCTCTGCAGGGTGGTGCCGCCCACCCCTGACTTACAGTGACCGTATTGCCCCACGCTATGTTTTGGTGCCGGTCCCAGCCTCCCACCATGGCTATTCTTTCCTAGCCTGGACCATTGTTTGTTACTACACCTCCCCATGATGGCTCAGGTGTCATGGGATACATACTACAGATGGAGCGGTAGCATTGAACTCAGGAGAGGGCTGGGCTCCCGGGGCTGGAGTGCAGCTCCTACCTAGGGAAGGGGGTCTACCTCCACAGGGCTTCTTGCACCCACCCCCCTCCAGCCTGCTCCTCTGCCTTGGAGCAACTGCCCTGAACATGATGAGTGCAGGCACCTCAGCCCCCTGCTCTGGGGCCCTCCAGCCAGGCCCTGCAGCTTTGCACCTCACTGTTCTTTCATGATGGTTTGTCCTTAGCTCACAGCTGCTGTTGGGGTCTCAGTGCATGCACAAAGTTTCCCATGCTCCACTCCCCAGACAGTCCCATAGCTCTCAGCACTGGCTAAATACTCCTCTTATCTGTATCTGAATTCCTTGCCATGATGATCTAACGCGATCCCAACCAAAACCCCTTGGAAAGCAGAGATCCTCTCCTACGAACATTAATATATAGTCTCTGGTGCCTAGACCAAAGCAGCCCTTTACTAAATGCTTAAGGAATCCGATGGTCAGATATCTGATGCGGGCAAATGGTGGTGGTGGGGGGGCCTCTCTATCTCCAATCTCTGCAGTCTTCTAAATGCTCAGGTGATCAGATTGCGAGTTGCCTTGGGGCATGGGCTCTTTTTATTTACTCTAAACCCTCAACGTGTCCAGAGCTTGGTCGTTAGGAGGTTCTTGGGGAGATTTTTTTGCTGAATTAATAAATGGACAATTGATGGGATAAAGGCAGGAGGATTTTGATTGTAATCTTTTTAGTCCCCACAGCGACCATCAGCTAGAAATGAGAAAAGATGTGTTTCTGCTTCTTTGGGGAAGACAAGGAGGACTCTAAGGGAGCTTTCCAAATGGGACCCTTGAAAGGAGACTCTGGGAGTGCATGGAACTGGGGAGGAAGGGCTGTCCTGGAGCTTATGAAATGAGCTTCTCTATGTTGGGGTTTCCACCGGTGGCCTGTGCCAGCGTTCTGTTCAATGCACGCATGCCGCGTGGTATCCTGGGAAAAGAATGGAATTTAGAACCAAGCTCCTGGGGTTTCAGATCCTGGCTCCTGTCTGTGATTTGGGGTGAGTCTCTGGAGTCTGCGAGTCTTAGTTTCTTCATTAGACTTAATCCCTACTCGCTGGAATGTCTGTGGGATGCTGTATGTAGACGGTGTCGTGTGATTCGATTGTGAAATGGAAAATGTGTTCGTTTTACTTCCCTCCCCGAGTCGTGAGCAGTGGCTCTGGCTCCCGCCTGGCTGACCATCCTGAACCCCCCAGCTCCTCCTCTTGCACCCAGATGCATCTGGTTCCAATGCCAGATGGGGATGCAGGTGAGAAGCAGCTTGAGAACTAGAGAAACGTGGAGAGAGATGAGTAAGGGGCTGCCTCTCCGGGTCTCCTGGTCTTTCAGGGCCCCTCTGAGGTCGCACCTTGGTGTCCTACCAGGAAATAGGGTCCTGGGTGACCAGAGCCCTGAGCTTCTACAGGTGGAGATGCCATGCACACCCAGATGCAGGGCCGCTCCGGGGTGAGCTTCTGAGCTCCTCCCGTGAGCTCTGTGTTCCCTTTGTTCAGGGAAGGACTCCCCATCTGTCACTCCTCCCTCCAGCCCACCTTTTTCTAGTCTTTTCAAACTCTGTGTCTACTCTCTGTGAGCCCGACTCTGCCCTCCACAGCTGGGCAAAGGACACCAGCCGTTAGGGTGCAGGAGTCCACTTGTTCTCCTGCGTAAGAACGAGATCTCAGGATCTGTGACTTCAATCTGTGTATCCGTGTGTCCACGCCCTCTGTTCCTCTTATTTGTAAAATTTCAAAACTAACATTGATACCGACTCCCCAGAATTGCAGTTGTGGGGGTAAAAGGAGATGGAGGGAGAGAAGCCACCTGGAAAGTGTGATACGATCGACGACAATTGCATCCTTCCTTGGAAGTGGGCCTTGTGTCAGCTCAGTGTCTCGGGCAGGTGACTTTATTTTACCTTACCACAAGGTGTCCTTCCCTAATCCTTTCCTGGGAATATCACTAACCCTAATTTACCCAGGAGGAGCTGAGGCTCCGGAGGTGACACCAACGCACTCAGAGCCACGAGAGCGGACTCGGTGGCACAGCTGGGATGCGGGCCAGGCCTGCCTGACCCCAAAGCTAAGCCCATCGCAGTGCACTCTGGTTGTTATTGCTGTGACTAATGAGCTGTCGGTCTGCAGATCTATATTGTGTCTGCGTCTGCCGGGGAGCAGGAGGCCTCCTCTCACAGCCTGCCGTAAACAAGAATGAAAGAGTTCATTCTGTGAAGATGGCTGGCCTGGGGAGGTGGGGTGGGCCAGGGGCATACGGGCTGGGGCTGAGGGGGGGTTTATGAAGCTGGTGTGTACAGGAAGGCTGATCCCAGGCCCAGGGCACAGCACCCTCCTCCTTTGTGGCCTGCCCGGTCTCTGGGCCCCAGGCTGCCTGGAGCCAAGGCTCTGGGTAGCAGGAGGGGTGCAAGAAATATCACGCTTTCTGGGGGGCCCCAGTGGCACATGCCTGGGAATCCCAGCTGCTCAGGAGGCTGAGGCAGCAAGATGGCAAGTTCAAGGCCAGCCTAGGAAATTGAGTGAGACCCTGCTTCAAAACAAACAAACAACAAGAGCTGGGGATGTAGCTCAGGGGTAGAGTGCTCCTGGTTCCATCCCCAGTACTGCAAAGAGGAATGTCGGGCTTTCTTATTAGCTCTGTGTGGCACCTCTGCCAGGCATTTCAGGGCTCAAGAAAGAGACCAGGAGGGGGCAGAGTGAGGGAAAGGTGCAGCTAGACTAAACATCCTACCTCCCAGGCAGAGAGCATGTGCGCTCTCGCTTTCTCTCTCTCTCTCTCTCTCTCTCTCTCTCTCTCTCTCTCTCTTCTTTTCTGGTGGTTCCGGGGCTCAGAACTCTTGTGCATGCAAGGCTAACACTCTACCCACTGAGCTGTATCCCCAGCCCAGCTCTCTGACTCCCAGGGCCTTTCCCTGCTTTGATCATACATTCAAGCCAGACCAGCAAGACCCCACCCAACACTGACCCCAGCCTCCCCTAAGCCAGTGTCCCTGCTGAGGCAGCGGGCCCTCATTGACCTACAAGCTTTTGAACAAGGCACTCCTGCATCTAGGGCTCCCTTTGATATTCTCCTCCTCCAGGAAGCCTTCCTTGACTGAGCCAACCCAATGGAGGCCATGAGAAGCCCTGGCTTAGTTGGATTTTCCTCATCTCTAGCTCTCCGTCTCTGTACTGGGGATACTCGAGAGAGAAGTGAAGAGTCTCAGGACCCCTCATTAGGATGGGAGTTCTCCAGGGCAGAAGCAGCACCTTCCAGGGTCCAAAACAGAGGCAGTTGGGGAGGGTGAAGGAAGGAAGGATTCCCCTAAACCACGGTTCCCTTGGAATGCCCTGTCCAGGGTGACAAGATGACACGTTGGCATCCTGTGCTTAGCTCTGATTCCTGCTCTGGGGTCCCACCCTGCTCCTGGCTATTCTTCCTGATTTAGTCCTAGAGAGGAAGAGCAAGTCGCCAACCAGCCTGGAATCCTAGTCCTTTGGGGCCTCTCCATCCAAAGAAACCAGCTGCTGGGCTCCCCGGTGCTCGCCTGTCCTGACACCTCACACTCGGGCGCCTCTTCACAGTTTACAGCTCCCTGTGCAGGGAGCAGCCAGGCGGCAATTGCTAAAAAAGGCGGGCGTCACTGTGCCGCATGATGGAGGAGAAACCCCGTGCCCAGGGGTCGTGACCTCTTTAGGATCCAAATGACCCAGGTCTCGGGGCTCCCAGCAGCCCACCCAGACAACCTGTCACAATCTCACTCCTCTCCCCTCAGAATCAGAAAGCCCCCCGAGCCCCCTCTCCCGAACTCCCCCACTTCAACGATTTCTGGTTACAGGGAGGGAAGAGAGGGGGGAGCGGCACAGATCCATCTGGGGGAAGGAACGAGATGGGGACAAAAATCAATGACACGGGCACAGAGGGTCACAGGCAGAAAGGTTCCAGGCCAGAGACGGGCAGAAGGGAGGCCGAGGCACCTCCAGACCACAGAGCTGGGGAGACAGAAAGGGGGGAGGCCGGGGGAGAGGGGCCAGGGCGCCGCAGGGCTGGCCTCGGTCCTGGGCTTCCGTGCAGGAGAGTCCCTTCATAATGCACATGCCCCAGGGGTGACTGCAGAGGGACATCTGCTCTGGTCCCCTGTGGGCCCCGCCGGGAGCAGGGCTTCCCAGAGGCAGCCCTCCTGAAGCTTCAGCCTGGGGCAGCGCAGCAGGACCCCAGCCCCTCGGGGCCCAGCCTCAGGCCTACTCTTCCAGCTCAGCTCCCTGGTCCCCAGGAGGCACAGGTGAATCTGAGAGGCAGGAGAGAGGGAGGAGGCAGCCATGGCTAGAAGGGCCACTGCTGGGGATCAGAAGCAACGGAGACAGGTGGAAGGGAAGAGGGGGACGCTCTCTGACCACCACCCCACACTTTTCCTCTCCCTTCAGGAGAGCCCTGTCTCCACTTGAGGTGGGACTGGGTCCCTGGAGTGGCCTGGGCAGAGGCTGAAGTAGAGGCCCACGCCACCTGCCCGGCCACCAGCCCCCTAAACATGCTCCTCCTCCAGGCAGCCTTCCTTGACTGAACCGACCCCATGGAGGCCATGAGAAGTCTTCACCTGCATTTGGATTTGGGAAGCCATTGAAGGAAGGAGTTGTAGAGAGAGAACCAGGGAGAGAGAGCGGGGCAGAGACGAGGCCAGGAATAAAGGGAGAAGCTGGGGTGGGGGGAGTCAAGGAGGGAACGGGAGAGCGGGAGAGACAGGGTGGGGGCACCGAGGGGCCCTGGGTCCTTACTGAGCACGGTGAGCTTGGCCCTCCGGGAGCGCAGGGCGGCCTCCGTGGCCTGGCACTCGTAAGAAGCGTCGTCCGAGAGTTCGGCATCGGTGATCTCCAGGTTGTACTGACCGGCGTCCGCAGAGCCCACAACCCGGTACCGTGGCCAAGCTGCAGAAACAGAAAGGATGAGACCCATCTCCGGTCAGGACGTCTTGCTCTGCCCTCTCCTGGGCCACCGTTGACAGGTGACATCATGGAGTGCCAGACTGGAGAACGTCAGGACCCCCGTGGAGAGACGGGGAGCCGTGAAACAGGAGGGGCAGACGGGGGTGGGGGGAGCAGAAACCAGGGGAGAGCAGAAGCGGGAGAGGAGCAGGAGCAGATGAAATCTCAGAAGCTGTTTGCAGACAAATGTCTCTCATAATGATAGCAAAGGGAGAGGGGGAGAGGCAGGCAGCAGGGGAGGAGGGAGGGGGAGAGGGGAATATAGGGCATCGCACCACAGACATGAGCTCACTGGGGGCGCCTCTGTGGGACCTGGCCAGGCAGCGGGAAGCCCAAGCAGGCCCGGGTCTTGCCCCCTGCCACTCACCAGGGAGGTGTGGGCCAGGCAGAGTCCTCCAGCTCCCTGCAGGGGGCCCCTAAGCAGAGTCCTGTTTCCTCGCAAGGTTGATGGCTGGATTCAGGGGTCCTCTCGGTTCCTTCTCCCTTCTCCTCCCTCCTGCAGCCTCCCACCCATTCCCCTGGCCTCCCACTACCCGCCCCCTCCCACGATCTCCCTCTGTCCAGAGGCTATCGATTCTTCTCACTCCATATCTATTGATTTCTCTCTCTCTTCCTCTCTCCTGGTTTCTCTTTCCATCATCGATAGATGCACCAAACCCTTCCTAACAGATTGCTCCACACCAATTTCCCCTCCCTGGAATCCACAGCAAGTCATCTCAACCCCCTCGAAAATAAGAAGAACAGAAACACACACAGCCCCTCCCCAGGCCACGAGAGTACTCCACAGCCAACACTCTGGCTGCACAAGGCCCCTTCCCTCCCTTCCTGCCTGCAAGACCCACAGGTGCACTTGGAAGGCAGGCACACCTCCAAAGGGACAGGTAGGCCTGTTTCACGCTGCAGCAAACCAGGCTCAGTGAAGGGAGGTGACTCTCCTAGAACACCCAGCCGGCAGGTGGCGAAGGCAGGAGGACAGCCCTGCTGGCCCGGCTCCTCACCTGTTCTGTCAGGGGGCCCTTCCACGGGCTCTTGACTGGCTTGGGAGCATAGGAGGATTGGGGGTTTGTTTGCTTCTGACTGAATCATTATGTTTTTCTCAACACTCGCTTCACAGCCAGTGCTTCATAAACGCTTGTTGAGTGAATAACTGAGTAAGTGCTCAGGCTGATGTTAAAATGAGCTTTTGGCAAACATGGCCTGAATGTGTGTGTGTGTGTGTATGTGTGTGTGTGTGTGTGTGTGTGTGGTGTTTGGGGGTGGTGGAGGGGGAGCAGAGGCAGCCTGTGTGATGCACTTGAGGGACAAAGTGCTGGAGCTTGCCAGCAGACAGGTGACGGTACTGTCCCAGCACCTCCTGCTTGACCTGTCGGCCTGCAGCACCTCAGTGTCTGTCTGTCTGTCTGTCTGTCTGTCTCGGGTTTCCCTTGATCTCCAGGCTGTGGGTTGCCTTTCCCCAGCCTCCACAGTGGGGAGGAAAGACAGAGATGCAGGGTGGGCAGGACAAAGCTCAGGAGGAGATGGAGAGAGGAGAGTCCAAGCTGGGAGTGGGAACCGGGGTACAGATGGGTCCGTCAGGAAGCTGGGTGGCCCCGCAGTGTCCCACTCACCTTTGAGACCCTGGCCCATACCCAGGGCCAGCCCGTCCTTGGTCCATTGCACAATCCCAGAGTAGTTGAGGAGCACACAGGGGAGCACCGCCCGCTGTCCGGCAACCACAGTCTGGTCAGCTGGCTCCTGGCTGAAGCGGGTCTGGGTCCCTGGGAAGCCAAAGTGGGCATTGTATAAGGAAACAGGGGGTCTCCAACCAAGAGGCCACCCCTCTCGGGCTCCCACGCCCACCCACCCCAAGAAAAGGCAGGCAGGACACAGCCTCAGGCCTGGCGGGGGGAGGACTTCTTGCCCTTGTCCTATTTCAGCACCAACCCGAACCTTCCAAGACGTCACGGGCTTGCCCTCTACCCTGCTCTCCCTCAGTGGCCCACGGAGTGAGTTTCGGGAGCGGGTTTCAGAGGTGCTTAGCAATCAGCAGTGGTGCAGTATTATGTAAAGGCCTTAGAGATGGGTCTGGCCCAGCCCTCTCATTTTGCAGAGGCAGACACTGAGGTCCAGGGAAAAGTGGATCTGAACCACAGGCACCCAGTGAGTTCACAGTAGGGCTGGGGTCGCTGTCCTGCAGGTCCTGGGCTGTTCCTCTAAGACCCCACCCACTGCCTCTCCATATACCCAAGTTCATGCAGGACGCACTGATAATGAAAGCCCCTGGAGACGCTGCAGTCCAGCGCTCTGCCCCCCCCCCCAGGTCCCTGGGACTAGGCCCATCCGCACACACGAATACACCCCCATGACTCTTCTTGGACACGTGGCGTGAGCCAACATGTGGGCAACAGTGCCAGGCACGATCCCCCAGGCAGCAAGGGCAGAGGGGTAGATTCCACAGGGCAGGTGGGTCCACGTGCCATGCGTGTGCACAGAAGCTCCCTGGGTGGGGACTAGATCCACAAGAAAGTGGACACTGTCCCTGATCCATGTATTTACCCCTTGGCCCAGTACGGGGGCACGAGGGTGGACACACCGACACACCTGCACACACTCAGCTTCTGCACCACGAGAGCCGAGCCGAGAGGCCGTGTGACTGTGCTCCCCTCTCCCTCCGGCTGCAGGAGCTACACATGGCTGCCCGGCTGGCATCTCGGCCGGGAGCATTTGATTAGAGAACTGCAGAGTAATTGCCTTTAATTGTGGAGCCTAAATGGAGCAGGGAATTGGATTGCGGGTTTCTTCTCCCCCACTGCTCCCACCCACCCGCTAGCTCCATCGCTGGGCTCACTCCATCGCTAGTCGGCCCCACAGCCCTGGGCACCTCGCAGAGCTGGAGGAGCTGGGCTCCGGGGAAAGGAGACGGCAGGGGACGGAGTGGCTAGAGGACAGCAGAGGGAGAGGTCTCCGGCTTGTCTGCCCTGCTCCCGATCGGTCACACCAAGGTGACCAAATCAGCTTTCTCCAGAACGCAGGGGCTCCTCCCTCTTCTGTCCCTCCTAGCTCCCCAAGTCTTTGCAGAGTCCCAAATCCCCGAATCCAATCCTTTCCAAACCCATCTTCCCCCAATTTTTTTCTGACCTACCTACCACTGCTTCTGTGTGTAGAGGAACGGAACTCAGCCTCTCCCCATTTCAGCACCTCTCCCTAAGCCACTGCTGACACCTCTAGTTTTTCTATTTGTCTGTTTCCAGTGCTGGGAATGCACCTAGGGCCTTGGGTGTGCGGGGCAGGAGCTCTGCTGCTCAACTGTAACCCCAGTCCCACAATCCATCTGATCCCCTCCATTTTTTTTGCTGGGTTGAACCCCACCGGGCGTAGCCGATGCGTTCTACCTTCTTTTTTTCTCCCCCAGCCCCATTTTCTCCCATCTTCCCAAATCCACTCCACATTTCCCGCTTCCAGGAAGCCTCCTGAACCCATCCTTGGACTCCATGGCCATCCCAGCTAGTCCCAGGCCCAGTCCTGTTGGTACAGCTCTGCCCCCAGGGCTTCCTGTCTCCCGCTAGCTATCAGGGCTTACGCCCATGGTCTTGTGTGCCAGGAGACCCAGGGGAACAGGTGGGTGGGGTCTCATCTGTTCTTCTGGAATGGGAACCTCTCTCCCAAGGCCAGGGGCCATGCTCTGTCTGAGAAACTGATGTGACTCCATTTTTGAGAAACCAGCCTCTTACCTCAGAGCAAAGCCTGTCCAAGGAAGGGGGTGTGACCCTTGTCCTTGGAAAGACCCACAGAGCACTCCCGGGCACATACCCACCCTGCTGAGTTGTTCATCTACAAATAACAGGAGAGATCTGCAGAGCCAGGTGGCCCTGACTCAGTCAGGCTAGGTGGAGATCCATAGCAACCTCCCAGCAACCACCAGTCAGCATGAGACAGGGAAATACCTGGGATGCCAGATGACCCCCCAGTAGTTTATGGTGGTTGATAACGTGTTGGGAAACCATGTAGTTCAGCACGTACTCCCCTCGTGGCCTAAACCAATCAGTTCAAACAAACCCCCTTCTTGTACTAGCCAATCCCCCCTACCCAACTTGTTCCCGCCATTGAATGTGCTAATCAATGTTAACAGTTGTTGTTTGATTTTCCCGTGGTTTGGAATGATTTGCTGTGTGATGTTGTGACGCATAGAGTATCCCCCCAAAACCTATAAAATCTCACTGAACAAAGGACCGGGGCTCACTCCCTGGGACCGCTGCTGCGTTGGGAACGGTTGTGAGTCTAGGCTCGAGCTTGCAATAAAGACCCTTGTGTGACTGCATCGGATTCGGCTCCTGGACCAGGTCTATTGGGGTCCCAAGAATCAGGCCTAACATGTCCTCCCTCTGAGTCCCTGGACACTGGACATCCATCCACCTTAGTGGCTGAGAAGCAGGTTGGTGGCCATAGGACAATATAATCTCACGCAGCCTTTTCATTCTCGGTTAAGTGCACCAGTTGGGCCCTTTGGGTCGGCCGGGGACCAGGAAATGAGAAACAGGGTCCTTCTCCCACACGTGACTTCTCCTTCAGAAGGAAAGGTTCCTTCCCATTTTGAGGGATGAGGGTGGCAGGTGCCGAGTTCCTGGGGGGAGGGCGGGTCAGGTGAGCAGCCAGCATTATTAATTCAGGCATTGCCCTCATTATCATTCAAATTTATTCATATCCTTGCGCATTTCTCTAGAGCAGCTACACACTGCAAACTCTCCACACTCACGTTTCTCCTTCCCCTGGCCCCTGGAGCCCCCCGGTGAAGGGCTTAAGAGTGGAGTGGCCAGTAAGCCCTGGCTCAGAGATGGAATTGACATCCATAATTTTTTTGCATGGTGCCTGGTCACTCTGGTCTCTTGTTGAAATCTGCAGAGGACAGTGAGCAGCTGGCTCCTTGTCCACTTGGAGTGAGGTGGCGGTTGACCCTGCGACAGGACAGAGGTGGGAAGCGCCTGGATTCGGAGTCAGGAGATGGGTTTTGCACAAGTGAGGAGTCCAGTGTCCTTGGGCACAACACTCCCTCCTCCGGGCCTCCACATGCTCACCTGCACGATGACAGGTCTGAGCAGCGAGACTGCCACTGTCCCTTTCTGCGCAAATCCTAGGAGCCAAGTGCAGGAAAGAGAATGCGGTTTACATTGTGCCTCTGGGGCTTCCTAACCTGGTGACCTTGGCCAAGGGACTGACCTACTAAGCTTCATTTCCTCCTTAGTAAGTTTGGGAAAGATGAGGCCTACTCCAAGACATGGGATACATGTCACGCCCCATAGGGTCCCCTGCCTGTACCCTCTGATCGATACCTACTGTCATTTTGACCCTGAGCAGTTAGACAACTGGAGGGACCGCAGGAAACCTGAGCAGGCACAGAATGAAGAAGGTGGTGATTATCGGTCTTTCTGGGGATTTGGAAGTAAAACTCACCCTTGGGTTAGGCCTGACTGAGACAACGGAGTCTGGAAAGAAGGGAACGACTCAGTGGAGATTCCAGAGAAGATGGGAATGAAGCGGTTCCAGAATGTCAGTCCATGGGAAGGTTACCTAGATCTGAGCCTGCACCACGTCACAAGCAGGGTTTCAGGTCCCCAGACAGCCCCTGTACTCCAGATGGTGAGTGAGATGAACTCCAAATGCCCCAGGTGGTACCCACGCTGGCTCAGGATTAGGGGAAAGCCCCGTGTCCTGTTCTCTCTGCCCCCCACACTCCATATCCACATCAGGCCTCTGTCATCCCCTACCCCGCCGGGGAGGCGCCCAGAGACGGGGGCAAACAAACAGGAGGAGACAGCCCCCTCTCTGCAGTGGGAGGGAGAACAGTGCTCAGGCAGGACGAGGAGAGAGTCCTGGGGGTGGATGAGCGGAAAGTGAACAGGGGGTGCCCATGTCTGATGGGTAGGAAGGGTAGAGGGGCCTGGCTGCCTCGGGGGGCACTCGCTACTGTATGTCCTTGAGTGTGAAGGTGCCACGGACCCGGAAGCCATGGCATATGCACACGTCCAGACACATTCCCAACGTCCTGAGCACCTTGCCTTGTGCCATCTGTTCCAGAGCAGGGTCTTTCCTGGACCCGGATTCAATTTTTTACTCCCAATCTGCGCCTGTATCCACTTCCAGGAAATTAAACCCGCACCCAACAGCAATGAGGGGAACTGGGGGCTGTAGGGCGAAGCGTCCGTGGGGCAGGAGGTGGGATGGAGGGAGCACAGAAGGTGTGACTGCAGACAGAGAGGGAAACAGACCATCCTCCTGTTAAACAGCATCAAATCGAGGGCCTCACCTGGGGGCCATCCTGCTTCTGCGCATGTTTTTAAGTGAATTCCAACCCGCTCTGATGTCCTCCCCTCCTGTCTTCAGGGAACATCACAGAACTCTCAAGTAGCCAACGCGAAGGCAGGAGGAGAAAAACGGAGCTGTCCACACACCCCAGCAGGAGCGCGTGTGCACGCACACGGCCCAAGGGGTAGGCCGACAGAGGCGCAAACGACACTGAGAAACACAGACACTCGGGGGGAGAGCAAAGGAGACCCTCAGAAGAAGGAAATGGAGCCCGGGGTTGGAAAGAACTCAGGCTGGAAAATGCACGGACTCTCCCAGGGCACCACGTGAGATCCGTGAGCACAGACGCCCGTGAAGTGACACAGACCCGGGCCAAAGCAGAGACGGCAGGTGGAGAGATGGGGACGTGGTGCGTGGCAGGGGGAGAAAGGACGGTTCAGGTGAACTCCTGCCCTCTGTGGTGCCCCACCCTGTAACACAAAGCTCCTCTAGCCTCAGACTTGGAAGTTCCTCCTCCATTCTCCCACGGCACTGTTTGGGCACTTACCACAGCTCGCCTTGGATGAAAAGTTACCCAGCTGTGTGCTTCTGTCCCCCTGCCCCTGGGAGCCCTGGAGAGCAGGGACGCTCTGGTTTACTCTTCTTGCCCCCTTAGCTTCAGCTATGTCCCCCTTTCCCTTTCTTTCTTCCTTTCTTCCATACCCGGGATTGAACTCGGGGGCACTCGGCCACTGAGCCACGTCCCCGGCCTTATTTCGTATTTTATTTAGAGACAGGGTCTCACTGAGTTGCTAAGCACCTTGCTGTTGCTGAGGCTGGATTTGAACCTCCTGTCTCAGCCTCCCGAGCCGCTGGGATGAGAGGCGTGCGGCATTGCGCCCCTCTTCCCCCTTTTCTTTCTTTCTTCTGCCCCCTCTCAACACTGACCTTCAAGGGACACTAGCCTTCCAGCTCTGCTCTCCAACTTCCCCCTCCACCCCCACGGCACTGGGGTAAGAGCTAAGCTAAACTCTGTGCCTGAACACATCTCCTGTTTCCACTGAGCCTGGGGAGGAATGAGAGGTCAGATTTCATTTGTTGTTTTATTTTATTTTTTTTTTGTTTGTTTGCTTTTGTGATGCTGGGAATCAAATCCAGTGTGTGGTGCATGCTACGCAAGAGCCCTACCACTGAGTTACATCCCCAGCCCTCAAATCTCATATTTAATTGAGAACTAGGAAGTAGCCTCTAAACCTATTATGGGATGGAAATGCTTACAGTTTCACACAGTCGTGCACTTTTTTTTTTTTTTTTTTTTGAACTGGAGATTGAACCCAGAGGTGCTGTACCTTTGAGTCATATCCCCAGCCCTTTTTATTTTTAATTTTGAGACAGGCTTTTGCTAAGTCACCAAGGCTAGCCTTGAACTCACAATCCTCCCACCTGGGCCTCCGGAGCAGCAGCTGGGATTACAGGTACTATACCATGCCCGGCTAGTCCTGCACTTCCTGTGGGCATATGTGTACCACAACACCCACACACGCACACACATTCATTCACACGCCCACAGCTGCACCTCCTGCACCTTTACATTCAAGTCTGCATCTGCCTCTGCCCACGGGCACCCTCGACTCTGTGTCCTGGCACGGGTGCCCCTGCGGTCATGTTCCCAGAGCCTTGCCTGCCAGGCTCAGGACTGGAGAGGGAGTGGGGCCAGGCACATGAGAATCCAGGGAGCAGGGCGGCAGGAGAGGAGGATGGTGGAGGCCAAGCCCTGTCTCCCCGGATTTATCAAACGAGCAGTAATGAACCCCCTGGGCCGGAGCAGTCCCTGAGCTCTCCACTGCAGATCCTGCTGCTGGTTCAAAGGGAAGCCTTTGATTCGCACCGACAGCTTTCAGATGGAACTAAATCTCTCCACACTCCACTCTCCCTCCCTCTCTCCTCTCACATCTCGGCGCTCCCCTACCCCCACCGGACTCCCCCCACACCCCCAGTCATTCCTCTCCTGCTCCATGAAAAATACAACAGCCAGAGAGCCCCTCGCATTGGATTCTCATGGAGAAAAGAGGATTTCACTTCTCTGGGTTGGGCCAGCAAAGGGGGAAGGAGAGGAGAGATTGACACTTCTGGATAGAGAAGGAGGGAGGAGAGGAGAGGACAGGGAGAGTGAGTTGGGCTGGCGCTGGGCAGAGTAACCAGAGAAAGGCAGAAACCCGGGGCAGGCTGTGGCCCACAGAGGCCGACCCTTAGACCTGAAGGTCCTGGGTGGGGGCAGGTCTGTGCCCTCCCAGCTGCCCAGGCAGGAGGGGACTGGTATGGGTTTGGTGATCTTGCCTTCTACAGGGCCCAGCCCAAAGTCCTATCGTGTCAAAAATGTGATGTGACTGTCTTTAGAGGCCGCAAGCGACTCCTTTGACAGATAAGACTTCAAGGGTCAGGAAACTCCACTGACTGGCTCAGAGGACTGTCTGAGTAGAGGTGAGGCCCTCTGTATATCAGACGAAGAATCCCCAGTGACAAACAGCACCCCCAGGCAAGTCCAGATACTCCAGGACTAACCTCACCCCACGCCCCTGCCCACCAGTGCGCTCGCGCTTCATTCTATGGTGCAAGCGGAAAAGACGCCAGGCAGCCGGGAGCTCAGATGCCCTGGAACGTACGTCCGTCCCTCCCTCGCCACCCTCTCCCTTCCCATCCTCTCTGGAAGCCCAAGCCACAGGCACAGGACCCAGTTACTCCTCCCTCACCCCAACCTGCTTGGCCACAGCACCCCAATGTCCCTTTCTGAGGCCGGGGATACAGGGAGGACGGCCAAAGGGGACTCTTTCCAGGGACCAGATGGGATTTTACAAGTGGCCACGGTCTGGCCTGGTTTCTTTGCATTTGAGCAGACGAGGGGGCTGGCTGGGGTTCACGGGGACAGAGCAACTGGGTTGACTAGCCTGGGCCATGGATTAGTCACTC